CTCTCTCTCTCTCTCTCTCTCTCTCTCTCTCTCTCTCTCTCTCTCTCTCTCTCTCTCTCTCTCTCTCTCTCTCTCACTCACTCAAATACCGCCCCTGACAACAGATAGGAGTGATGGTAAGAGCATGCACTCCTGCCCCTGTCTATTGGTGGGGAGCTACACCTGCTGGAAAGCAGGTCCAGCGTACCCTGAGATACAATGTTAAGTTGGTAGATCGGCAAGTGCTGGGAACCGGCCCCAGCGTCCCTCATGAAAATCTCATGATGCTACTGATGCTATAAGATGATGATGATGATGATGATGATGATGATGACGATGATGATGACGACGATGATGATGAGGAAAAGTAATGAACTACATAAGCCAAACCTGACCTCTCAATCCATGAGCAACTCTTATCCTTCCCCATACCAGACACAGCACTCCAAAAGCCATATCATCCTAGCTAATACCAGCCCGTCATGTTTCACTACAAAGACTATACCCGACCCCATAGGTTGTCCTGGGAGCCCCCTCCCCAACTTTGCCACTGGATTGCCTTCCTCCCTCGACGAATCCCCAGACATATCTACCAGGCCTCACACTCCTGCTGCAAACAGGTCACAGGGAGGCCTCACGATCCTGCTACAAATAGGTCTCATGGAGGCCTCACGCTCCTGCTACAAATAGGTCTCATGGAGGCCTCACGCTCCTGCTACAAACAGGTCACAGGGCAACACCCCAGCACTGGCCACTGGCCAGTGTCGTGGCGGAGAGCCGATTGTTGGGAAACTATCACGTGTGGTTCGGAGGGTGGGAAAACACAGCTCCCGACCCCTGAGTACCTTCTCCGGCAATCTAGTGCCGCGCGGATTCTCAAGTCTCGGGCTCGCTCGCTATTGACATCGACCACGAATTCAGCCGTGGCTTACTGTTGATGAGAGGCTCTCTCAGACTGTGTTTCTTTTGGTTTTCCTGGCATGCTGTCTGTTCCTGGTATATTCTCTGTTCCTGGTCTGGTGTCTGTTCCTGGTCTGGTGTCTGTTCCTGGTATGTTCTCTGTTCCTGGTCTGGTGTCTGTTCCTGGTATGTTCTCTGTTCCTGGTCTGTTGTCTGTTCCTGGTATGTTCTCTGTTCCTGGTATGTTCTCTGTTCCTGGTATGTTCTTAGTTCTTTGTCCCTGGTACGTTCTGTCAGACGGTTCTTTTGGTTCTTGGCTTGTTTTCTGATCCTGGTTCAACGGACGGATGGATGATGTGATGCAGGCCAGCCACCGTTCCCAGGTCTGCGCGAAACCGCTGTTGGCTACAAGGTTCTGCATGAACAGGCGAAGCCAGATATTCCAGCCGGTATACCGCAGCCGTTGAGAGCGATGCTCCTCCGCTGCTTCGAGTACCAGGCCTGCGATCGCCCACAAGCGCACGAGCTTCTGGCATTCTTTCTCAGAGGGATTAACTGCAGCGAACCTGTTAATGCGCCGTTAACAGACGTCTTCATTCGGCGAAACCAGAAGACAAGCAACTCGACAAAGGATGTGAAATTTGCAGGTGTACTTTCAGGGGGGTCGGGGGATCTTATCCAGTTGAGCCAACTAGTGCAAGTGCAGGCAACGGCAGGCGAAGCAACAGGAGACCCTGAGGTACGCTCACACTTTTTTTTCTTAATATACTTCTCCCTGCAAGGAAAATGAGCAACAGCGAGATGACAATTTCAGATTACACCATCACATTGAAAACCAGATAGTCATACCGTGTCCAGAGAGCAGCATTGCACCAATAATACACCAATGGAGGTGCGTAGTACTGAAAACCAATGTCAAGGAGAACTTTCTCTCTCTCCACACCAACACGAGTCCAGTCCCTTCACACTCCTACTTGGTGCTCAGCGCCCAGCGTACTCCTACACAGCTACGATCTTTCTAATTGACAATGCAACTGTTGACATCAGCGGCAAACCGAAGTACTTGAAGATGTCGCCCAAGTGCAGACCATCGCCAATACAAGGTATGTGCCCTCACATCATCATCATCATCATCATCCTTCACCCTTCCCTGACTTTACACCCATGTCTTCCTCCCTTACACCCGAAGACCACTTATGCGCCTCACTGTAGTCCAAGCCCACCAGCTATGGTGGATGGGCTATGGCGTTGCCCTCAGCAGCGCCCTACTTCCCTGCACGACCGCACGTGCTGCACCTCGCCTCTCAGCGCCAGCAGCAGCCCACGAGCCTTTGCTCCAGCAGCGCTGCCGCTAGCATGCGAGTGCCTGAATGAGGCTGAGAGTGCCGAGCTCTTTCCTATATGGAAAGAGCCTGCCTGCTTCGCAGCCTGGCTGGACTGGGCCTGGGCCCGGAAGCTTCCGGTAGGCCCCAGGATGCTGCGTGCTATTTTGCAGCTACTGGGCCTCTTTCGGTTGGGCCTCCCAACTGTCAGTGTATGAGGCTGCGTTTCTCGCCCGGGGCCTGCATTCTTAGGAAAGGCCCAGAAGGCCGTGGAAACGTCTTGGTGGCTCGACCGGTGTTTCTCTCAACCAACTGGCGCGTCGCAACTGCCTGTACCCAAAATATGAAATTGCCAGTCGAAGGCCTCTTGTGATATGTTAGGCCCGCCTTCACTTAGGGCAGGTACCACTGCAACGGGGCCCTCTTAGGCCTGCCGAGGACCCAGATCCTCGCATCCCTCTCTGCCTATGGTTTACCGGGCAGCTCTGTTTGACTATATATATTGTCACATAACTACAAACTAAAAGAGCGCACTTTGCGGAACAAAGAATAAAAGCAAAAAACGGGCACAGTGATAACATGCAAAAATAAAAACAAAAAGAAAAACAAAAAGAAAAAACAAGGGCAGATTGAAACCATTAAATTTCTCATTCTTCTTTGAACTCCACCTCCACTCTGCCTCTCACGTGCAAGGCTTGCCACATTGATGAAGTTGAGCGCGAGCTGCCCCCATCCCCGTATGCCATAACAGCCCACTTGCACGCTGTGAGAGAGGCAGAGTGAAGGGGAAGGTGTTAAACACAGGGAAAAGCTCA